CCCCAAGCTCCTCTGTCCCCAAGCCCCCCTGTCCCCAAGGTCCCCAATGTCCCCTAAGCCCCCCTTGTCCCCAGCAAACCCCTGTCCCCAAAGTCTCCAGTGTCCCCAACCTCCCCAGTGTCCCCAGTCCTTCCAGTGTCCCCAAACCCTCCACGTCCCCTGTGTCCTGATGTCCCCAAGGTCCCCAAACCTCCCCAGTGTCCCCAGTCCCTCTTCAGTGTCCCCAAATTTTCCTGGTGTCCCCAAGCTCCACAAACCCTCTCTGGAGTCCCTGGTATCCCCAAACCCTTCCCAGTGTCCCCAAGTGTCCTTCTGTCCCCAAACCTTCTCTGGTGTCCGCAGTGTCCCCGGTGTCCCCAAACACTCCCTGATGTCCCCAGTGTTCCCCAGATGACCAAACCCTCCGCAGTGTCCCCAAATGTCCTTCTGTCCCCAACCCCCCCCTTGATGTTCCCAGTGTCCCCAGTGTCCTGGTGCCCCCAAACCCTCCCTGATGTCCCCAGGCTCCCCCATGTCCTCAATGTCCCCAAACCCTCCCCGATGTCCCCTGTGTCCCCATGTCCCCAAACCCCCCCTGATGTCCCCAGTGTCCCCAGGTCCCCAAACCTTCCACAATGTCCTCAGGTGTCCTGATGTCCCCAACCCCTCCCTGATGTCCCCAGTGTCCCCAGGCTCCCCTGTGTCCCCATGTCCCCAAACCCCCGCTGATGTCCCCAGTGTCCCCAGGTCACCAAACCTTCCCCAATGTCCCCAGGTGTCCTGATGTCTCCAACCCCTCCCTGATGTCCCCAGTGTCCCCAATATCCTGATGTCCCCAAACCCTCCCCAATGTCCCCAAATGTCCCAATGTCCCCAAACCCTTCTTGACGTCCCCAGTGCCCCTGTGTTCCCAAACGGTCCCCAATGTCTTCAATGTCCCCAAACCCTCCCCAATGTCCCCAAATGTCCCAATGTCCCCAAACCCTTCTTGACGTCCCCAGTGCCCCTGTGTTCCCAAACGGTCCCCAATGTCTTCAATGTCCCCAAACCCTCCCCAATGTCCCCAAATGTCCCAATGTCCCCAAACCCTTCTTGACGTCCCCAGTGCCCCTGTGTTCCCAAACGGTCCCCAATGTCTTCAATGTCCCCAAACCCTCCCCAATGTCCCCAAATGTCCCAATGTCCCCAAACCCTTCTTGACGTCCCCAGTGCCCCTGTGTTCCCAAACGGTCCCCAATGTCTTCAATGTCCCCAAACCCTCCCCAATGTCCCCAAATGTCCCAATGTCCCCAAACCCTTCTTGACGTCCCCAGTGCCCCTGTGTTCCCAAACGGTCCCCAATGTCTTCAATGTCCCCAAACCCTCCCCAATGTCCCCAAATGTCCCAATGTCCCCAAACCCTTCTTGACGTCCCCAGTGCCCCTGTGTTCCCAAACGGTCCCCAATGTCTTCAATGTCCCCAAACCCTCCCCAATGTCCCCAAATGTCCCAATGTCCCCAAACCCTTCTTGACGTCCCCAGTGCCCCTGTGTTCCCAAACGGTCCCCAATGTCTTCAATGTCCCCAAACCCTCCCCAATGTCCCCAAATGTCCCAATGTCCCCAAACCCTTCTTGACGTCCCCAGTGCCCCTGTGTTCCCAAACGGTCCCCAATGTCTTCAATGTCCCCAAACCCTCCCCAATGTCCCCAAATGTCCCAATGTCCCCAAACCCTTCTTGACGTCCCCAGTGCCCCTGTGTTCCCAAACGGTCCCCAATGTCTTCAATGTCCCCAAACCCTCCCCAATGTCCCCAAATGTCCCAATGTCCCCAAACCCTTCTTGACGTCCCCAGTGCCCCTGTGTTCCCAAACGGTCCCCAATGTCTTCAATGTCCCCAAACCCTCCCCAATGTCCCCAAATGTCCCAATGTCCCCAAACCCTTCTTGACGTCCCCAGTGCCCCTGTGTTCCCAAACGGTCCCCAATGTCTTCAATGTCCCCAAACCCTCCCCAATGTCCCCAAATGTCCCAATGTCCCCAAACCCTTCTTGACGTCCCCAGTGCCCCTGTGTTCCCAAACGGTCCCCAATGTCTTCAATGTCCCCAAACCCTCCCCAATGTCCCCAAATGTCCCAATGTCCCCAAACCCTTCTTGACGTCCCCAGTGCCCCTGTGTTCCCAAACGGTCCCCAATGTCTTCAATGTCCCCAAACCCTCCCCAATGTCCCCAAATGTCCCAATGTCCCCAAACCCTTCTTGACGTCCCCAGTGCCCCTGTGTTCCCAAACGGTCCCCAATGTCTTCAATGTCCCCACCCCCAGCCCCCTGCCCCCAGGGCTGCAAATGCTCTTGGCCACACCCCCAACAGGCCACGCCCACAACAGGCCACGCCCCCATGCTGAATCCCCAGCCCAGCCCCCAATGCCATTGGCCCCGCCCACTCATGTTCCCCTTCCCCTCCCTTACCCAGGGCGTCACCTCGGCTGCCGACACCCTCTCTGGGCGCATCAGTGGTGATGTCATCGGTGAGGTCATCGCTCGGGCGGATGGGTTCTTTA